AACTGGTCGTTACCGTTACTTGTACGGTAACTGCTTATCCGTTACCGTTACCAGGAACGGGAACTGTTCAGCAGTTACCGTTACCGGGTAACGGTGGTAAAGGTAACTGGTAACTGTCACAGCCCTAGTTCAAACATAAAACTTTCATCCAATGAGCTGGTAACACAAAAAACTTGAAAAATCTGTAAATGATTGGCTTTTCCTAAATGAATTCTAGGTGATTGTCCACAGACTAATTCTTTATTTTTAAGGTTATTTTTAAGATCCAATGTTATTTCGTCCTCATCGAAGAGGTACGAAGATTTTTAGAAAAATTTTCTGAAAACCTTGAAATGCTGGATTTCGAAAAAGTTTTACTTTTCGATTAAAAAACAAAATCGAAAACTACTTTTAGTAACACCAGGAGATAGAGGAAACATTTCTGATCAGAATGAAATATCTCGCAGCTCTGAATGATGTTCTGATCAAGAGTTATGAGGGTTTTGCCTGAAACCCCAAAAAATATGCATCAGATACTGGCGTCACCATATCTCGAAAGCGACTTTCACGTTAATACCATTCGTAGCTGCAAGATTTCTCGCTAACGAAACATCGCAGAGAGCTCGAGAAGATCTTAAATTGAAGCTGACACATGTGGCTAAAAGCTAATAGAGCCCATTGTTTGTTATTCGGTCTAGATTTTTTATCAGAAAAACATCTTTACAAAGTTAATGAGACTTTTTCGAATTTGGAAGTTTAGACACTGACTATTAATTTGAAAAGAAAAATATCAAAAATCCGGTACTATTAGCCTCTAGCCACATGTATTTTCGACAATTTAAGACCAGTCGGAGCTCGATGGAGAAATCTTGCAGCTTAAACCAAACGGAAAATATACATCCGCCAGCTAAATAAAATTTGACGATTTAAAACAGAGAAAACGTTATTTTCATTGTACGCCTTCTGAGAACATTCCATGTGAAGAAAAACGATTCATAAAAGATCTGATCAACTAACAATATTATTTATTTATATATGGTCTCGCATTTTTATTTTCAATACTTCATTGATTATTTATTCACTTTTTATTTTATTTTTAACCACGTTTCACACGTTTTTATCACGTTTCTAAATCAACATTAGAATTAAACTACATTATAACATTATAGAAGGATACTCCGCCTTGCGGCTACCTTGCGGTGTAGGGTGTTGCCGAAGCAGTTTCGATAAGCCCGATATCTTCCCTACAGCTGATGATCTTCAGAGACGGTCACCCGCTCTTCTACTAGTCACCAAGCAAGCTGTAGCTCCGGGCAGAAGTCAGCCTGATACAGAGTTCTTTTCGCCCAATTTCTTGAGCTCTCCATACACACTCACTAACTACATACTAGCACCGAAGTACCGGTGTATGTCACAACTTAGTGAGTATGCTATTGGACGGATGATCCGAGACAATAGCCATTAGTAACTTGTACAAGGTTATTCTATGACTGGGTGGCACGCAGAGGCTCGAACACGGTTCCTTTGAAGTACGTGCCGAACAACATAACCATTCAGCCATAATTGACTTTATACTATATAACATTATAACATCGTACATCGTTACATCCAGCATTACTAGAATTCACTAAGTAGTGGAGCCCCAGAACCATGTTAGATCATACTAGAATTTAAAGCTCCGAAATAATCAGTTCTGGCACTCAGGTGATAAACTACAAACATATGACTGTATTAATAAACTTTGGAATATGCATTGAGTGGACTCTCAGACAGAACAATCAAACGATTAACTTTCCTTAAAGTTTTTGATCGAAGTTGATCAAACAGAAATCACTTCATTAGATGTTCCCGTATATTATTGTCTATATTTTTTCTGCTCGTAGTAAACGGGTGGACATATTGTAAGAACCGAATCTTCCCTTTAAAAATGGCCAATTTGAAGTTTCCAGCCCCTAACTTCAGTAGTTTATAGAGAATACGTGTTAGCGTAAGAATATGTCAGTAGGTTGCCCGAACAATTTTTGAATGAAAAATGCGATTTTTTTCACGTTTTCAAGTTTGAAATGCGAATTAAAAGCAGGATTTTATCAAACTCTCTGGACACAATGATCCTTAAGAATCACATCCTGCATAAGTAATAAGTGAAAAGGATAACCTGCAAAAATATCCGACCTTTTGCTATAAGAAGGAATCTTGTAATATGATTTTTGCATATTCCACTCAAGGAGGCGCGAGTCTTCCAATATATTCACCGCTTTAGTCGAATATGAGCTAAGAATTTGAACATAAATGAATCTTTATGAGAATATAAAGGTATCCACGTTTTTGGTAAAAACAGCAATCATAGCACACTTAAAATGAGTGGGGTTTATCAAGACGTTTCGTTCTGAACAGTACTGATACACTTTCGAGCAAAAGAAAAGAATTTCAAGTGGTAACCGAAATAAGAGAAAGGATATGCATTTAAAGTTAGACAGACATTATTGCATAAGAACAGTTTTAGAAGAACCTAGAACTTTTTCTCTGTTACACTAAAAGAGTCATAATTGTTGATGCACTATCATGTATATACATTAACTTCGATTACCTCTTAACGACAGTGAACAGAAAAAGTTATGTACAGCATAATTATGAATATCGCATAATGAATTATGACATATCAATTAATTATCAAATTTTTTAGATGAAAAAGAATAAATCTTTTGAGTTTCGATTGATTAGCTTAAAAAATGTTCTTTAAAACAAAGCGAACACGATGAAGCTTTACACGCACGCATTATCATTTTTCTCACCATATCGCCTTGTCTTGGATAAGACGATGAGAGATCCGACATTGTGGGATGTGGACCTTGTTGAAAAGGAGTCTTGTAGTTGCATCTGTCAAATTTATTACTCTGGACTATTTTCTATTCAGAAATAGCAGAAATATATCATCAACATTAATACACAAGTGTCATAACGGAGTAAAAATGAGAAGCGTAATAATATAAAAGGCTGCAGGAACGGAAAGAAATTGTTATATTTGCTTTTCTTCCTCAAACAATCTTATTCCAAAAAAAACAAAACTGATACATTACCAGAAAAAGAATAAAAAGGAAAAGTAGAAATACATATGAAGAGATAATACATGTATGTAAAAATAACAGGATAAATGCTTTATACATGCGTTCTCATTATACCATTATTAAGGCACTCCAAACTCAAGGTTACAGCACTATTTTTTCTTGTGGCTCAAATATACATCATTCGACGCAGAATTTAAAGGTGATCACGAATATCTACTTTTTAGCCTCCCCAGTGCACGTTTTCCACGGAAAAAACTTCAAAAAACTGAAATTTGCCGTTTTCTCGAAAAATCGCTAATTTTCGAAAACACCGTTATATCTCATTTCGGTCTGGTTCTGGAACCTTGAAAAAGTGCTTTTCTTGTTCAACATCGAAAACTGCATGCAGAAAACTATATTTCAAGGTTTCAGTACGAATAGAAGTGTTCTGGGGTTGCGCAAAGTTGAAAGACGTCAATTTTCCTGACTCTCACTCGCAAACCTATCTCCTTTTTTCCTTAAAAGATGGTATCTTGACTGACGCCATTCGATCAGCCTTGAAGCATAGAACAAAGGTGGTTATCCTTTTTTTGAAATTCCTTTCCGCTGCTGAAAAAGTTCATTTCGTCTAAATCAGAGCTGAAAAAGTCAGAATTCTGCTTCTAATTCTTAATTTTCTCCATCAGAACACAACTTTTATGCAATAGAAATATCATATTTGGAATCATGATCAAAAACTGAGACCACTGATGTGTATTTCGAAATTTTTAGTTGAGTTTCATTTTTTGGTGAAAATCTTCATCAACGTGAAAATTTGACAAAAACTAATGTAGTCGACTAGGATAGAAATACACATCAGTGGACTCAGTTTTTGATCATGATTCCGAATATGGTATTTCTTCTTGTTTCTTTTGTTTTACACAGAAAGCATATGATGGTTATAAATATACACCTGTTTCCTCTTTCATTTTATCGTCATATTAATTTATTTTATAACTCCTTTTAACAAATAGGCATAATATTTGCTCACATATTATTTTCAATATTTTTTCCTTATCAATTTAATCTTTTTACAATTTAGTCCAACGCATAAAAATAATAGACAAGGACATTAACTAAGTGAGAGAAAATCATTTTCTTTTTTCTTGTTTGTTATGACAAATCGTATGTACGGATGCATAAAAAACGTTTTTCTTTTTTCGAACGGCAACTATACTAGTGAATCGTATGTTAAGTTTGACTGCCAAAGATGATAAGACTAAACTTGATGATAGAACCGTCCCAAGTGTCTAGTCGCTTATTCCTTAAAACATAGACGATTGCGGGTAATTTTTGGTGCTGATCACGAATCTGATATTCATTTCTGTCGCTAGACCTTTCTGGAGTGGGTTCCTGAAATCTGGGTGTCCAAAAACCCACTATGAACTTCCAGCTGAACATATTTTGGCATTGCTAGATTTGTAGAGCACGTTGAATGATATCTATGCGGAAAAATGTTCAGAACCATCGAACAAGTTTTCGCAAAGATAGAAAAATTCTAGGGTTCAAGAATCTGAAATCTTTTGATTCTCTACTGGATTAGAAAGTAAAATTTTTTTATCTCTGCAAAAGCCTGTTCGTTGGTTCGGAACATTTCCTGCATAGGTAATTGAATGTGTCCTACAATCGGACGGTGCCAAAATATGTTCAGCCAGAAGTTCATAGTGGATTTTGAACACCCAGATTCCAGGAATCCATCCAGAAAGGTCTAGCGACAGAAATGAATATCAGATTCGTGATCAACATTAAAGATTACCCGCAATCGTATATGTTTTAAGGAAAAAGTGACTGAACGTTTGGGAAGGTTCCCTCGTGAATACAACTTTAAGTTAATAAAATTATTCAAGATTTTCTCTACTTTAGCGATGGTGGATTTAAAACGTGTAAAATGGTGTTTAAGACCATCACCTTCAACATTATTCGATTCCATCTGTTTATGGTTCATATTACCCGTTCTTCTCGTAGTGATAACAGCTTCGATAGCTTTAACGGTTTCATTCAAGTTGCCAAAAGTAAAATCTCAAATAACTGCTAAGAGTGAATTTAGTGAAGAACGTGCTCGATTACATTATGTTAATCTTACCGCTAATGGTCCACGTGTAGCCAATACGAAAAGTGATTATTTAGCACGAGATTATATTTTAGAACAGTTAAATATAATTGATAAAAGACGTACAAATAAACAAATTCGTTTTGAAATTGATGTACAAGAATTTCGTATCATGTTTGGAATGTTAAAAAACTTTATTGTCAGACTATCAGATATAGACTTACCCATACCAGTGATTAATGAAACATCAAGTTTATTATTATCGGCACATTATGATTCGGTAGAATTTAGTCCGGGAGCCAGTGATGATGGTTCTGGTATAGTGATTTTACTTGAAATTCTTTCTAATTTAGTTAACGATGAATCACTAGTTTTAAAAACACCAATCATATTTAATTTTAATAATGGCGAAGAAATAGATTTATTAGGAGCCACTGCTTTTATATATAAACATCAATGGGCACACAATGTAAAACGTTTTATTAATTTAGAATCAACTGGTGGTCCAGAAAAAGCTATTTTATTTCGTATAAAACCTTCTCAATTGATTAAACATTATTCTAATGTACCTTATCCACATGCAAATGTAATTGGAGACGAAGTTATTAAAGCTTTGCCTGTTGATACAGATTATACGATTTATAATCAACAAATAGCTGGATTTGATTTTGCATTTTATCTCGACGGATATACGTATCATACAAGTTTAGATTCAGCGTCTCTTATTGAACAAGGAGCATTACAACATTTGGGAGAAAATACGTTATCTCTCATAAGACATCTGCTGACTCACGATGATGGGACAGACGCTTTTGACGAAGATGAAAACTATATTTTCTTTGATTTTATAGGCAAAATATTAGTCAAATATTCGTTTAAAACGTCGGTTATCATTCAAAGTATACTTATTAGTTATGTATTCGTATTCATTATAACTATCATCACTATTGATCATATAATGTTCACAAAATATCGTTGTAACGATAAAAAGTCTGTCTATTATTATTATTCAACAGTTCGCAAATCGTTATGTCTGCGTATATTATTCATTTTATTTTCATTTGCTTCTTACATAGCGTCACTTCTTGTTGGTATCGGTTATACGTTACTGATTTCATTAATTGTATCAAAAATTCGTCCATTTTTCTGGTATGGTAAATCATCACTCGCCGTTGCCCTTTACTTTCTAACATCTCTGTTAGGAATGATATTTGTTCAATACGAATGTTATCTACTGGTGCGATTATTAAGTAAACGGTATGGACCAAAAAATAATTGGAAACAATTTAGTTATCACGCATTTGATGTCGAACGACAGTTTTCACTATTATTCGTATGGTGTCTATTCATGATTGTATCAATGATAACAAAAATTCGTTCATTCTATATCGTTTTAGTTTGGTCAATATTTATTTGTTTTATTTATACAGCAGTAATTTTTATCGAAAAGGTATTACTTTGGTATTCAACAGTAAAATATCATGGTCATACTATTCAGATTACACGAGAAGTTGATCGACAATCCAAAAATTCTTGGAAAAGTATGTTTACAGTTCAACGACGTCATTGGTTACTCGTACCATTTATTGCATCATTTATACCCTTAATTCACTCTATTGAACTCATTAGTAGATTATTACGTTTGGCTATACCGATGATGAGTCGAACATCTGAAACGCCCATACCACGAGATTTGATTGTAAGTGCAATCATTGCTCTTATCATATGTATTTGTACACTCACATTTCTGCCCATGATGAATCGAGCAGCAAATTATCTTAAAACAATAATATTTATATTTATTGCCTTTATTATTATTTTTATCATTTCCTGTACGACATATTCGTTTACTACTATGAATCCAAAATTAATTAAAGTAAAACATTCATCACGATCTATGCACATTTACAATCCAAAAGATTTATTAATTTCTTCGTCTACACCAGTTACTGTGCCAAAATTCAACCAGACAATGCGAGTTCGTGTAGTCAATAATGATCAAGTACCATTTTCGGGTATACTTCAAAAATTCACTTCAAAAAGCGGTCAAGAATTGAAAAATCTCAATTGTACATCGAACAGATGCGATTTTGATGACTTCAATCGAATGCCTAGTATCATATCTCTTCAAATTATATCCTTATCAGATACTCTGTATACAATTCAATTTAATCATGTATCCACATATCAAGCGTCAGTGAAACTAATTGGTATTTCAAACTTTTCTCTTAATATATTAGATAAAAGTCCTTTTATTCGTGATTCAGATTCCATTTACAAATATGGAATAGCGACTAATCAAACAATCGTTGATGTCAAACTGTATCAATATGATAGCAAAGCTTCCATCACTTTCACTCTTCAAACGTGCGATATGAACGATTCACCATTTTTGTCATTATTGCAACAGACTATTCCTTATGTAAAAGCATTTGGAAATGGAGAATGTCAATTAATCACAGATGCTGCCATATTAACTTTTACGGATAGTTAAATATTTTTATGAAATTTAGTGGAATGAATGCTTTCTCTCTTAACCTATGCCTCGCTGAAAACCTATAGAAAAATATTTTAGAAGCATTCATGATTTTAAATCTTAACTTTTAAATTTTGGGCAAAAAATTCTACGTGCCGATCCCAAAATCTAAGAATTCGATAAGATTCAAAAGTATATATCCAAAACCCAATGACTTATACGCCATTCAATGCAGTTTTTTAACCTGATTTTGAATATACAATTGGTTCTTGGTTCTGCTGTTTCTGAACTGCGAGGACTTGATTTTACCTCAAAAACCAAAGGTTTTTGGAAACCCTCTCCCACTGCAGAGAAGCGTTTGGGCTATTTTAGGCTAAGTGCACAGACGTATCATATAAAGAAGAATATTTTCTGAAAGCTTCAGCTTCGGTGGACATCAGGGGACTTTAGGGCCCCAACTCTACTAAAATTACTTTTGCGAAAAACGCTTAGTCTCCGGAAAACTCTTTTTTCTCCTACCAAAAACTAACTAAAATTAAAAACTTTTTTTATTAATCGATAGCCTAGAAACTCAGCTTTCAGAGTATGTGTGTTTAATTTTTTCTGAAGTTCGTTCTGTTGACAGAAAGAGCAATATTTTTTAAAGGCCACACAAACCGAGCTAGAAGTTGTAGCTTACTTTTCTCGATGACCTTAGGCACTAGAACCAAAATGTTTTCACTATTAAATAGGCCACTGATCGTTGTATATGTAGAACTCATTGAATCTCTAAAAATCTCACTTTCGTTTTTTCCCCAAATGGCCACGTTGTTGTACACTGTGCCACTAAGGGAAGATTAGAATGTGAGAAGGCGATAAAATACTTTCATTGAACAAGAGACGGCAATATTTTTATATGTACACATGAAACTCGTGAAGAGTTCATGCGAGTTTGCATCATAATCGGATTCTAAGGTACCGTGAATGCCGTCAACGTATCAACCGATCTGCACTATACCGTAAAATTCAGTAAATGTTTCAAAGATCAACAGAATATACTTCGTTTTTGGAACGGTTTCTCTCAAACCTTTCCCCAAACCTAATAGAGCACCTTTTATTGCTCTTAACTACAGAGTCAGGTTGAGCTGATAGAATATAGTATATCCTGATATATGGTAGTAGCTTGGATGGATTTTGAGAGAGTTATGAATTTTTTAATTTCTAGTGAAAATAGATAGCCAAAATGGATTAATTTGCCTAGTAGAGGTTTTCACTCGGTTCTTGCATTTTGTTCTGAAAACTAACATTGCTACGAGATTCGACGTGATCGATAATCTATGTTTTTCGTGCATTTTCTGAAGGTTCCAGAACGAAGAACAGAGAAGTCCCAGGACTTCGGGTAAAACGTCCGAAGCTCTAAAAATCAAGCAAAATGAAACTTTTGTTTAGATCTTATTTTGTAGAGGACACTTTGGACTATCCATGAAAGAAACGACAGATTGCTATATAAAATTATTGACTTAGGAACTGTTTTCTAGAGATCTGTCAAAAAACCGGTTTCGAAAATCGGTTCAAAAAATGTTTCTGCTTATGAAAATATAGATTACACTGTTCTCTTTCGAGTGCCGAAAATCACAAATCTCTACCTTTCATGATCTGTGAGTTATACAAAAAATAATATCGGCCTTATATTTTGGGTTGGACAAAATCATTATATGTAAGCTTTGTAATAAATATATCTCAGCAACCGTTAATCCTAGAGTAGAGGAACATTTCATTCTGAAGAGAATTGTCTGAAATAAAATATATCAAATGATACTAATTATCGGTGGTGTGGATCAGGAAAAACTCTAGTATATAGAAAGAGACATGAATGAGGCATGATTACCACCAAATGCTGTTCAAAATATTTTACGTACCGGGTTTCGACACACCCGACTTTTGATTATTGGTCCTAGTACATCTTGATGTGCTCTTTTAAGTGAAACCAATTCTAAAAAGATTCACTCCACTGACTAGAAGAAAACTCATTCTTAAATTTTCTTAGTGGTTTTGAAGCAAAATGTTTACCATGAGCAGTCGCCATGAGATAAAATTTTTTAACGTAATCAGCAGATAGAGTCCATTTCTTAGTATATATGGTAAAAGAATTTCAACCTTATCTCTCATACTGACTGAGAAAAGTAAAATTTATTTTGGTATCTACAGCAAAAATCAGCTCTCTATAACGAGCGACACCTATTAGCAAAATGTTTATATCCAGGACTGTAAAAGTTCCCGTTACTATTGTTTTCGTTAGTGTTAAGGTAATGATAACTGTAAATACAGTTATCATTACTTTAAACGATAACCGCTTTTCCAGTTAACGGTAACTACCAGTTAGTTAACCTTTGTTGTAACTATTTTTTAAGTATGGCAGAAATATCTATGCAGCGGCTTAAAATTGTTTCCAAAACCGTTAGTTTTCCACTAAAACTGTTGAAACTTTTATAAATGATATGGTTTTGACTGACACACACGTACTAGTCAACTAAACTAATCGAAATTATATAACTTCAATGTTTTATAACTGCGGTATTTAAGGTATCCGGAGATCTCAGCATCTCACAACCAGCTTGAGGAATCGTTTTGTTTTCATCAACGAAATTAGACTACAAAACCATGTCATTTATAAAAGTTTCAACAGTTTTAGTGGAAAACTAACGATTTTGAAAGCAATTTTACGCCGCTGCGTGAATATTTCTGCCATACTTAAAAAATAGTTACAATAAAGTTAACTAACGGATAGTTACCGTTATTTCAACGGTAACTGAAAAGACAGTTATCGTTACTTTAACGGCAGCTGTTTTTCTAGTTACCTTGTCGATAATGGCCGAAGAAGTAACGGGAATTACTTTGCAGTCCTACTTGTATCTCTTGAACAAAACAACCGTTCGAGCTGAAACTTTCAGGTTATTCCTAAATGTGTTCGATCCTACCCTAAAACTTTGAGAAAAATCGGTCACACCTTGGATGTAACGTACGTTGTAGCTCTCATGTAGTGACTCGTAGTCTTTCATGCCATGTGAGCCAGGGGTAGATTTGAAAACTTTGATATATAGTATTTTAGATCCACTTTTTGATGGCGAATCAGGAAAAAATGATTTCGGAAATATAAATAAGTATCTAGTAGAAAAATCGAATGATTTTTAAAAAAAGTACCAATTCTCAATAAATCGTACCTAAATTAGTAATTCGATATTTTTAACCAACAAAATTATGTTAAAAAAGTTTAAAATGATATTTTCTTAAACAGTTTGATGTCAAAAAATCCACCGATGTCAGAAAAACAAAAAAATAGATTTAGCTGACGTTTTGCATTTCTGGCACCTCACTTCGAAAAAGAAAAGCAGAATGAAGAAGACTACAAGAGTTTAGTAGTGTACTGTGTGCTTTTTTAATTAATCTATTGACATTATTCATAGAAAATATTAAATAAAATGTATAAAACGAATCAAGAGTTCGTATTCGAAGAGAACTTTCTACTCATACAGCCAATAAATACGATTTGGTTAATGAGATAAAACCCAGTGCGATATAAAAAACATACACTTTTTCTCAGATACAATATACTCTCTTCCACAGTTAGTATTCGATCACTTACCTGTGCATATTGACTCAGCCGAGGCAAATATGTCGCTGATCATCAGTAAGCATTTTAACTAGCTACGTGGATCTGATAGTCGTCCAATATAAAGAAACAAACTATGAATACTTTTTCTTTTGAATAAATATCTTCGACTGCTTTATAAAGATCAAATGTTGACAGCAATTTTCAATGATGCAATAGTCTTGTACATAGCGTATCTAATCCTGCAAAGAAAATGTTATCTTTACTTTTTTTGCTTAATGTTTTGTGCACTTTTTATTGTATACGTACAATATAATCAGTTCTTAATGAGTGGAACGCGTGTGAAGAAATTGTTGCTCCATGTTATATCAGATATTGATCAAGTGAACAGAGAAGCGTCGAAAGTTATTTTATGAAAAAATAATATTTCAAGCATTATGAATACTTTAACAACGAAATTTAGCGTTAAAATTATCTACTTATTTTCTTACAGATAATTAACAGTTGAGCAGTATTTTTCTTGTCTCATTTTTGATCTGCTCTTGTTCTTTAAAGTTTCTCATGAGTTTCGTAATCATTTTTTGATACTTGCACACATCATAATTAATTGACTCTTTAGCAATATCACATAAGTATCTGAGTATCTCTGAGTAGTTCTGTTGTTTACGTTCCATGTTAACGTATGCTTGCACAATCTGAAAGTATCTAGTGCAAACGGCTAATTGTGATGTCTTTTCAAGAAATTTCAAAAGTTTTAGAAATATCGTATGGTTGGTTAATCAGTTTCAAAAATGCTCTATGCAGCTGCCGTTAGAGGGAGAGAGATAAATCTGATACTTTTACTGATGATTTCTCAAAACAAATGTGATTGTGTTTTGTTGAACAAGGTTTGGTAACCAATAAGTAAGTTTCACCGTAATTGAGGATCCGGCTAAAAGACTTCAGAGCAAATTATGTTCATATTTTAAAACGAAATATTAAGACAAAGTTAAGATAAATTTTTTTCCCTTTTGTAATATTTTACAAAAAAATTCATATCTGTTTGATATCAGAGAAACTACCAAAAAAGATTCTTGGATTCTGTTTATCAAATGACTGTATGTTAATTCTCTCTTATCCATGCTAACGGTGTCTGCCAATGAAATTTTCTTGGGTTTCATTCATTTTACGTATTCGCTATCATTTAAGTATTAAATTTTATTCAAACCAAACAAATGCCTTTAAAATTGTGCCTTTCTAAGCACAATTGTTGTTGCTTTGTTCTTTAAAAACAAATACCTTGCTATGAATGTTTGTACTCTGTTTTTCTTAATTAATTTGTATGAACTATTTTAACATGAAATTAATAATGATTTGATTATATATCAGTCTCGATCCACTTGAAATAAACATACTTTTGTAAAAGTCTTATTCGTGAAAGAGAAATTTAGTATAATAACTTTTTATTTTAATGAAATTCAAACTAACAGTGATAACAAAATAAAAAAAGACATTTTTCTATACGCTCCAATAAAAAATTTAGAAATATTATTTACACATGTAATTGCCTAAGCATCCGATGTACCAGATCTATCGTTATTTGTTGCACCAGTCTAAAATATATTCAATAAAATTCATTGCTACACATACACAGACACATATACTAATATTTAAGAGAGATACGTACAATACTTTCAAATGCTGGATTCATAATTGATGTCGTAGTTAATAATGGTTCTACTAGTCTGGTATGTTCATTTCTAAAAGTACAATGATAAGAAAAATTTAAAATCCATCATATATAATTAAAATTGTATTCTCTTTTATTTACCGTTTTAATTTTGGTCGAACATATAAAAGTACAAAAGCAACGATACCAATAACAACTAAGGCACCAATAATAGAACCCGCAATAACACCAGCTAAAGAAACAAAAATTTTAATCAAGTTAAAGTCAATATGATCTTTTTAACATGCTTACCATTACTCTTCGATGGCTTTTTCCGGTCACATCTATCACCAGTATAATTGGGTTTACATCTACAACAGGCACAAATAAAAAATAATGGTTCAGTTGCTAGCAATATTGAAAAAGGAAAACATATACAATGAATTGTTCTCTGCCGTTTGACGTAGACACCTTTCTTTCAGTAGCAAAATTTTTCTAATTATTGTTAACTAATACGAATCTAGTTTAGTTTGTTTTTAAATGTCCTCATAGAGTTAAAATAAATACATGACTAACATTTGAGAACATAGAAAAATCGTTTGTTTTAGATTGAAATAACGAAAATCTGATACGTAGACTGATAATTAATTGTTAAACTTTGGTTAGCAACAGAATATACAAATTTCTTTTAAAATTTGCTTACTGGCATGTTGGTTTGTTGTTCGTGTTTTGAGCCGGTTTACAAATACCACCATTCAGACAATAATTTGAACAATCTAATGGGCCTTGAGTACTAATAGTTACTGTGGGACCTTGAGTTCTAGTAGTTGCTGTGGGATCATGAACAGTAGTTGTTGTGGATCCTGTTGTTCGTGTTGTGACAATTGGCCGTGTTCCATTATATTTTGCACACTGTGGTGTAAAAGTAATATCGTCGAGTGCCATTATACTATCTTGATTTGGTCCAGTTGTTACACCAATAGTAATCTAAAAGTGTCGAAACATATTGTGTTTCATACATAAAAATAAAAAACATTTCTTTTCAAACTTACTTCACTCGGCTCTTTCAATGCGTCTAATTGCACTTGAACACGTTCCCATCGACATGTCTCATTTGTTTTACAATATGCTGTTGCATCTGTCAATGTTATTAATGATTGAAAAACATCTCCAATTGCATAACGATAATAGACTGATAATGTTCCACCATTATCACCTTTGAAGTAATACCAAAATCGCAGAGTACAGCCTGAACTCGGTATACCCATCACAGTTGAAATTAATGCTTTTGTTCCGCGTGCAATAGTTGAGTTTGTTCGGACTTGTAAAATATGTCCCTAATAAAAAAGAAATGAACCAGCGGAATACATGAAATTTTGTGTCGTTAGTAAATCAGTACTTACCAAGTGCGACTGTTTTGTATGATCGTATGGTGGACGAGCTTGAAATGGTCTACTGTCTACTCGATATCTTTCCCAGTTTAGTTGAGTTTCTGCAGTAGGTTCCCACATACCAAGTGATTCCTCAAAATCACATCTAAATTTATAGTCCAGAAGTAAATTGAGATATGTATGAGATGCGAAAAAGCAGATAATTACCTGTTGTAATCATAGCATATATTCGGATCTTCATCCGTACCATCACAACAATCAAGGCCAAAATCGCACTTATTTGAATTAGGAACGCAGTGGCCACTGTTACAGGTAAACGCATTTCCGGGTAATAAACCACATGACGTTGGTTTTTTTTCGTAGCAATCTTCGAATCGAAAGTCATCAAGTGCAATATCACCTGTGTAAGATGTTCCACGAATGCCTTCAACAATAATACGAAATTCTGATGCACATTGAGGTAAGCTGACTCTTGCTGCATTCCATTCATTGCCTTGATTTCCCGATAATGTCCATAGTAGACTATCGCTCGTACCAGCACGTATTAAAATATTCAATGTATTCACTGTTTCACCAAACATATGATACCAGAATGTAAACGCACAAGTTTTTGATGATTTCCTATAAAGTGGACTGATGAGACGTGCTTTGTGACCAGTGATACCATCGCTTGTTTCCAAGTAAATATAATTGCCATCGGTACTCAAAGTTGTGTGATCTATGGAAACATAATGTAAACACATTTAAGAATTTTACAATTGCAGAAAATTTACTAAGTTAGGCACCTGTATTTGGCCCTGTGTCAATCGACGGAGTTTTTCCACTACCGAATTCCCATCTGCGTTCGGCTTTTCTATCATTTTCCCATAGACATAATGTTTTTCCATCAAAGACACATGCTTGGGGACACGGTTTTTCATCTGTCTGATCGGTACATTCAATATTAAAATTACAGAACTGGTCTTTTGGTATACATTGTTTACCAATTTCACAATGGGAATGAGTTGAATTACAATAAGGACTTGCTGTTGTTGAATATGAATGTGGTGGCAATGTTACTTGTGATTGCAGTCGACAACCAGGTGTAAAAGATGTATCATCCACTCCAATTTCACCTAGAAGATCATATGAAGTAATGAAAACATGGCGGAAACAAAATGAAGAACTTACCTTCGTAACTTAGACCTCGAACTCCTTCAATGAGTACTTCAAATGATTCAGGACTCATAAGGCCAACTTTAGCGCGTAACCATTCATCCCCTTTAGAACCGCTTTTACTCCATCGAAGTGTCATGGGACCTCCAACAGTAGTTCGAGTGTATATATTTAATGCTAGAATAGTCAACAAAGTATTATACTATTTGACAAGTTCATTTTACTACACTCACCATTAATATCCACTCCGTACATGTGGTACCAGAAACGAAATTGACAAGAACCATCAGTTGTTGGTGCAAATACCGGGCTTATAACTCTTGCTGTGTCATTTGGTTTATGAGGGGCCGATGTTTCAAGAAATAGGAAATATCCTTTCGATGTTCCTAGATATTGAAAGAAATACACATAAACTGCAGCTACCGCAAGACTGAAGCGCTTATTTACCAAGTGTATGATCTCGATCGGGTCCATAAATTGACCATTCGAAATCATACCAATCTGTGAATAAATCATCACCACGAAGGCGTTTCCACTGATAGTCCGCATCATAATCATCAGTCCAACCACACATTTTGTTAGTTGATACTTCAAAACTACACATTTCAACGTACGTTTCACATTCCAGTTCATCTGTATTATCGCCACAATCGTCACTGTAATCGCACAGATTGTCTTTCGAGATACAATTTTTATTTATTGTACATTGAAATGGGTCGGGAATAGCTTCACAACTACCTGGTGCTGCTATCTGACAATCATGTAACTTAACGTCATCAATCGAAATGTCAGATGCGACTGATGTTGAACCAACATGAGTAGAAATAAAAACGAGTCGGAAACCAGTTCGTCGTCGACCAATGCTAACCGTGATCGGTCTCCAGAAACGACCCGTAATGCTGTCAGCAGCCCACAACTTTGTTGGACTGCCGGTATCACCTTCCAGATAGAGTGCTAACGTGCCATCAGTATCACGGTTACGATAGAAACCAAACATCACTTCACAGGAGGCTGCCGTTGAGGCTATGCGCTCTGATACTAATCGACTACTGCCAGCATATGTGCCTGCGCCACTTGCCACCGTCATTACACTACCATTTGTAAGATCTGGAAAAAGTACAATACATGTTCAATACGAGTTCAAATTTATCAATTCAAAGGTGCCTTACTTGTTGTTAAATCAGCAGGCATGAGTGTTATTGCTGACGCTTTTCGTTTTGCCCAAACGTAGTAGCCCGTACTGTCATCATTCCATCCACACTGTGATTGTTCAAAATCACACGGTCCACAATTGACTTCATCTTCACCGTTTCGGCAATCGTTGATGAAATCACAACGCTACAAAGGAATAATGAGAAACAATTAATAATTTACATTTTTCATTACATTTTAAACGTCAAAAGAGTGCACTTCAAGCCTCACTTTTTCTTGTCCGATACACGTGCCATCGTCACATCGATATGTACAAGGTTTTGGTGATGTGGTTGTGCCATTGGGTTGAGTTCCAAATGGTAGTGATGGTGTTCCACCCACACATTGTGACGAAAAGGAGAGATCATCCACAGCAATAAATCCATTTGTTCCGCCTCCATTTAACGTTTTCACTTCAAGAATTAATTCGAACAATGCGCCCTTTGGTATTCGCACTTCTTGACGTTCCCAATGAAAACCAATAATTTTCGATGTTGACCACAGATACGTATAGGGTCCACCATTTTCTGACCTTACTATTACAGATAACATACCGGGATTAATGCCATTTACATAATAATAAAGCCGAACGGTACAATTATCCAATGATTCAAAACTACGACTGTTTAAACGAGAGTATTGATTGCCTTGTTGTCCTGTAGTATCCACATACAAATAATAACCGCTTAACGAATTGGTCGTGTGATCCCGCTGTGGCGCATAGAATGATGTCAATTGAGCACCACGCGCTCGTTGCCACAATAAATCATTGAAGGGCATTTCCATCACTTTACAAGAATCACGTTCAAAATTACATCTATAATACAGAAGAAAATTTGCAGCAATGATGCTTTCTTTTGAAAAGAAAAACCCTACCCTTCCATCGTATGCGTATTGGAACACGTTGAATTATTTTCATCAGACATATCCCCACAATCATCTGTGTAATCACATAAACGGCTAATACCCACACAACCACCTCGTTTACATTGGAATTGTTCATCCGTACATGTCATGTTTGTTTGAATGAGGTCACATCCGCTATATAAAATATCATCGATCGCGATATCACCATAGGTATTTGAGGTTTTCTTGGCATCAATCAAGATGACAAATGGTTTGACGAGTCGTCCAATTTTCACTACTGCTTTTTTCCAACGATTTCCTTGGTCTCCAGTCAAGCTCCATAAACGACTCATTTGAATTCCTTCAATAGATAACACTTCTAACTGTCCAATATTTTGTCCAAACATATGATAGAAAAATGTCAATTCACATGTTGATGATGATTGTTGAAATACGGGTGAGATTAAATGAGCTCGGTCGTCAATCGATCCGTTCGCTGCATCGACATACATGTACCAACCAGATGACGAAAGAGTAGTATGATCAAATGTAGGACCTGTGTTAGAACCTGGTGTTGCACCACGTTGTCGTTTCCATTTATAATCGCCTGCCGATGGATCTGTATAGTTACATATTGAATTTTCAAAATCACAATTATATCCGCATATTGTTTCATCGTCACCATTCGGACAATCCCAATTGAAATCACATACTTTTGAAGACGGAATGCATGTACCATTTTTATTACATTTCACAAGACAATCATTTGGTGTAGGTGGACATGTGCCCGGTGTAATTGAAAAGTCGTCCATTGCTATGTCTCC